TCGGCGCGGGCAGGGAAGAAGAACGGGGAGGGGGGGCCGCGCCCCGCCGCGCTCCGCGGGCCGATCCCGGGGCCCCGACGGCTGCGCTCGGACGGGGGCGAAGGCGGGTGCGCGTCGGGCGGGGGAGGGAGGGCGGGCCGGGCCGGCGGCGCGGGCTCGGCGCAGGCTCCGTGTCCCGGCGGGCGCTCCCGGCGCGTCCCCGCGGGGCGGGGCGGGAACGAGCCGCATTCCAATCACTGCCGGCCGGGCGCGCGCGGGGAGGCGGGAGCGCGCCCGTCCGTCAGCACGTGCCGGGGGCGGGAGCGCTGGAGCGGCTCCGCGGCGAGGAAAAGTTGGCCGGGAGGAACCGGCCGGGCTCGCTCTGCCTCCCCCGCAGCCCCTCCGCGGCCCGCCGCCTGAGCGGGCTTGTCTCCGAGCGCCCGGGCCCGGGCGTTATCCCGCCCCGCCGCCCAGCAGGGCTCTCCCGGGGAAGCAGCTCCTCTGGGGAAGGGCAGGAAGGTGTGAGAGCAGGACGCGGCCAGGTCGCTGTCACGGAAGCGCTGCTGGCCGAGAAGGGGGATCGGGGCACGAGAAGCAGCCGCGGCTGGATTTGGCTGCAGGGCCGGGGAGCTCCATCCACATGCTGGTGGAGTTGGCGCCATGGAAAACGGGGGAGCTGCCAGGATTCACGGAGTAGGTGGTGGTGGGGATTACCGGAGTAGCTTTAATGTGGGTTCAAGGGGGCCTGTGTGTGAGCTGCGGTGGGCGAGGAGCAGGACATGGTGGCAGCAGCGTAGGGAAAAATGAGGGACTCCAATGGGCCTTTTGGCTTCGTGGAAAAACAGTTCTGAGAAGGTTGACATGTCGGTGCTGCACGAGGGATAGAGTTCCATGGCAGAGGACAGGATTGTTTGTTTGCTTTTTTGTTTCCTGTGTCTCTGAATAAATAAGCCCAGTTAGATTGGAATACATTATAACTTCTGCAATGAGCTGCTCTGCTCGCTGATAAGGATGCTGAAGGCCATGATTTGCATTGCAGTTCCCAGCTCCTTATCATTAGGACAAATGGGAAAAGTAATAATTTGTCTGTCTGTCTTCAAGTGAGGTCTCCCAGCAGCAGCAGTGCAGAAGGAGCTTCAGTGACAGCACGTCATGTTGTCAACATGAGACCCCACAGCTCCCACCTGGGCTGCTGGTTTCAGTCCTTCACTCAACAAAGTGACAGCAATTGTGCTGCTGACATTGTCTGGCCTTTCCCTTGTCCTGTCACCCAGTTATTCTGCTTCAAGAACTTTGCACATGTAGGGTTAAATGAAGATCCTATGGATCATACAGACCGACTCGGTTTCCCTTTGCTGCAGACCAAAATGCCCTTTAGGCCTTCAGGACACACCAGCAATTGCTCATGTTGAGATGCTTGCCCAGATAAACTGTTTCCATAGAATAACCAGTTGGGAAGCAATCTGGCTTATCTGTGCCAAATAGCCACATGTGCATTATGTTGTGGGAAACATGGGCTTGCTTATTTTGTTGACCTCTCCACAGTCTAGCTCCATTTTTGCATGCTAATATGAGATAGGACTTGTAAATGTTGTGCACTCCACTCCTGAGTTGTCACCTCTGAATGTCAGATGAGAGCACTGGCTCTGCAGTCTGGTTCACATGCGCTGTACCCACAGATCGTTTGGTGAGTGCTTAGCTTGTGTGCTACAGCAAAACAAAAAGAGGAAGTATAATTTCAAACTTGTCAACTTCACGGACTCCTTTAAAATTGAGGCAGGCCTTTAAAAAACAAAGGCACACCTAGTAATTGTATGTGGCCAGATACTATTGTGATAGGCATTTAAGAATGCAACTCCTGTCTTACCAGACTTATAGAAAATTTTTTCCGATCACCATCATCCAGAAAAATCTGTCAGTGTCCAAAACAAAGCCAGCCAGCAAGAAAGACAAAATCACGGCTTCCATGCCAAGCAATACAGAAGTCCTATGCTTATGTTTATAATTTCAAAGGAAAATATGAGTCTGCTGTTCTTCCACTCTGTCTACTATCAGATTATAGCAGCAGAATAGACACTCAATATGGAAGAAGAATGCAACATGCGTGTGTGTGCTCCCAACCAGAACCAGAGCTGTTAATGCCAGCATCTCTTCAGTAATACTGTGTGCTAATACAGCCCTGTGCTTTTCAGATGTTAGATATTGAGTTCAATCCAGCATGCATGAATTTAGCAAAGGCCACTAGCCTTGAAATGCATTTAATCTGTTTTGTGAAATGGATCGACTCTTTTCATCCAGTTCCTGGTGTGGAGATTTGCACATTGCAGAAATTACCATCCCAGCTGATACTTTTCAAGGCACTTGGGTGCTCAAGATACCCACAAGTCATAGTCCCTGTCAGGTCAGAAACTGTTGCTGAGAATGAAGTTTATATTACTATGGCAAATAATGCCCATTAAGGAGCACCATGTAACTCCTTGTCTTAATCACAAAATAAAGTCTGCAAAAGTAAACTACATTAGGATAATATTAGGGCTGCAGGAGAATGAACTGAATCTTAATCTAAAACAGTGAGTCATAGCCATGTTAAAAAGTGTTTAGATTGTGATGGATGTCTGATGAAACATTACGTAGAAGGTACTGGTGTCCTTCAAAACAGTGCAGTACTTAAAATATATTTCCAATATCTCTACCAGGATAGGAAATATGACTATTAAACCAGCAAACAAACACTTTAGTTGATAGGCTCTCAGAAAGGCACAGGGTTCCACTGAGATAGTTATGAGTAACAGAATCTTACCTGGTGAAGATTTTAGGAATCTGCAAAAAGTCAGACACACCAGGTTTTGGTAACATCAAGTATTTATTTTATGAATTGAGCAGCACTCAAAAGACACTGAAGTCTGAAAATCTGAAAATAAACATATGTTCATTTGGCGAGGATGGGATGTGGAAATCTAACATGAGATATAAAAAAAGCAGTTCAAGACTGACTGTCATGAGGAAGAGAGTTGTATTTTAAAAAAAAATAAATCAAGAATTGGATAATCTTCCAGCTGCTTTCATTGTTATGTCCTCTCCAGGAATTTCTCATTAGTTCTTGGAATCACTTGGGAACTACAGACTTGAATATCAAAAGAACAAAGAGGTATATATATATAGGGAGAAGGTCAGCCATGTGATAGGACTTTATCTTTGTAGATCCTTCTTCCCTTCAGTCTCTGGAATTCATATGTCTTAAATCTGTGTCCAAATATATTCTTGAAAACTGTTAGCAATTAGATGAGTATTTCTCTGTTACTGTTACCAAAATAAATATTCCATGTTACATATTAAAAGAATATTGCCCTTCAGCCAGGGACACAATTATTTCACTTAAAATGACATGAATTTGGCTTTGTCTCTTTTTCAGATTTATTTTACTTGAAAGCATATTCTTTTCATTCTAAATTTATTCAGCTGTTTGTTACTTAGAAATGTCATGGATTTTAGTAAGTGTTTTAAATTTAAGCACAATTAATTCAATAAGACAGGATCAAATCTGTGAAGAAAGGTGTTGTTTTTTTTTAAATTCTGCTGGTGAAGCACTGGTAGAAAAAGTCAAGCCCCGGCCAACCTTCGGTCCCCCCAGTGTGATGTGGAACTGGGCACAGTGCAGCACTGGAGAGCCCTGTGGCAAGAATCCAAAGAATAACAGCTCAATGTGCAGAGCATGGGCACAAGGAAACAGGAAACTCTTGGTGTATTTTGGGGTTGCTTGGGCTCCTGCCTTGTGCAGGTGACTGGGGAGGAAGGAGGACAAATGACTGAAACTATCCCTGCCTCAGGCAGCCGCTGCAGGGGGGGAATGGATTCCTTAGGAGCTGTGTAGTGGGGAACTCCACTGCACCTTGCAAAGGGCTGCAAGAATGGGAGCACTTTGCTCCAGGAGACATTTTGCCAGTCAAGAACCAAACTTCTGTTGCTTTTTCTGTTTCTTCTTCCTGTGCCTTGTGAAGCTGGTTTATTTTGGTTTTATGGATTCCCAGGTACAAAAGACATATTGTAGTCTTTTCACCAGGCCATAATAAACCCTGAGATAGCTTATAAATATGAAGAAATGCTTCAAATTATTTTGTTTTTCTTAAAGTCAGCGTTGGGTAGTAAGAACATTAAAAGTTTAATCACAGAAAACGAAAATATTTGTATGCTCAGCAGAGGCTTCACCAGGGTGCCTCACTCACATCAGTTTGTTTGGAGAATTAGTAATATGTTTTCCCCTAGATGCATGCACATAAAATCCCAAAAGTGTTCATTTTCTCAGAGAAGATTAAGTATTTAGAGTTAGATTGTAGAGCTGATTTTAAAATTTATGTTCTGAATTATCAGTCAGCAGTGCCAAATGTTTTAAGTACACTCAGAGAGAAGCTAATAACTAAGCTATGTTTGTGTTCCTCCACCTTTTATTTTAAGAGGTATTTGTTAGTTTCTTTTAAGAGTTTGAATAATCCTTAGCTCCAAGCCCACACTCTACAGTTCCTCTGCTGATGCTCAGGCTTTGTCCTGACACTGAACCAGTGCTGAAAGCAGAAATATTGTTTAAACCTGCTGTTACACAAGGGGAATTCTTTTCAATACAGCAAATTTCTGTCTTGTTGTTTATAACAACTTTGTCCTCAGGAGGCATGGATTCAAGTGGATGTGTTTCTGGCACCTGTAGTGGTGGATACTGTAGAGATTTACGAAGATGGACATTTATGAGGCTGGAAATGCTATGTTCTTCCAAGCTTGTTAGAATGAAACAGATCTGAATTCTTTACAAAAAAATGAACTAAATAATTTCATCATATCCTTTTTTTTTCCTCAGTCTGATACTATCTTTAAACATGAATGCATTGCTGTGAAGTAAGAACAAATGCAGCAAAATACTCTCTTGGGTTTTTTCATATTCTAGCAAAACTAAGATAACATAGATCTACTAAATAATAAAAGGATATACTTGTATTTCAGTCACAGCAGTCAGCTAAAATGCCTGAAAATGTATAATGAAGTTAAAGGCATGGACATGAAGCTTTTCTCTTTTAGTCTGTAAGATACTTGAATATGTACTGAAACTGCAACTTGAACAAGTTAAAGATACAAATAAAAGCAAATCCTCAGAAACAGTCTACAATTCCCTTTGCTTCCAGCGAGAAATTTGCCTGTGTCTGCAAATCTCTGCGTTTGGCAGCTGTACCTAATACAGTTTAAACTCTCACTGGCATCAGCAAAAAATTACCTGATTAGGGATGCAGGATTGGATCTAAGATAATAGCATATTAATAATCCACTATGCATTCAAAAGCTACTAATGGAAATTAAATCCCCCCCAAAAAGCAGTTGAGCAGCTTTCACTGTACGTACTCAAAATGCTAAACAATAGTAGCTGTTGCTTGTGTGACCATCAGGAAACACAGCTGGGCTTCTTTGTGTTACAATTAATTACTTCCGTTGTATATAAAATTGAAAGTATTGGTACTCCGGGGCGGAAAAAGGATATCCTGATACACTGCTCCTATTTCCTTACCAAGGCCTATTACTGAATGTTTCACCACTAATTCAGTTACAATGAATTATCCTGCAGTGAATAAAGGCAGGGTAGATTGGGTGGTTAATTGTTACACTGAAAGCCGCTTTTTTCCTTGCCTTTTCATTCTCCTACATTTTTATCTCATTTTACTACTTTCACGTGTGCCCACTTTGATAGCAATTATTCACTTTTAAGTAGCTGCACTTAATAATGTAAGTCTAAAATAAACATTTACTTAACTATCCTTTGACTTAAAGATTGTTCTATCAATATTTTTTATGTTACGAGATCAGAGAAAGCAAAACCTTCGTCACTCTCCTTTAAAGGAATGAATAAAATAGTCTCAGCTGAAGGATTTGTGGCCAGGTTCTCTGCAGCTGGCACACAGAGATGTAATTTATACCTTTCTGTGCCAGTGAATTTCCCTAAGCTGGAGGGGAATGAGGATTCTTACCCAGAGTTAGGGAGGAGTAGTAACAGCCCTCTGCTATGCATTCTTTAATTTTTTTATTTTTTTTTTGTGAGAATTGCATAGGAGCAAAAACTGTTTGAGGTTGTACTAAATAGGCAAATGTGGACCCTGAGGATATATACTACCCCAAAACTTTAATATCTACTTTTTAATAACACTGACTCTTTCTTTTTAGAGAACTTCTGAACAGAGAGCAGCTTCTGGGACTGCTTAGGAGATCAATGAAGTCTCCAACAACCACTAGCCATATAAGCCTATAAAAGGTGCAAAATGTGTTATGTATGGAGAATTTAATCTCTCAGCATGTGCCTCCTAACCTGTGGTTATGTGCATAGGTGTAATTACCACCACCAGCCTGTTTCCAGTCCATTCTAGGTTGTGTAACACAAAGCTGAATAAGTGACACGAGGAAAACGTGAGAATAAGTAAATTCTGCCAAATGAACTGAAATCTTGCAAGTTTGAATTCAGACTGGTGTCACAATGCAGAAGAATGGCAGCTCAGAAGAGTTCACATTCCAGAAACTGGTTTACATAATAACAGAGGGCAGAAAATCACCATCCACAAAACATTACAGCCCTGTTCTCCTTTTGCTGCAACAGCTGGCAGTGAGAGTACAATCTGAAAGGAAAACTCTGCTCTGTCATTATTTTATATCAACACAGCTTAGATTTAGGTATGCTCTATTTGATGCCAGAGCTAGAACCTGAAGCTCTGGCTTGCACTATCACATTTCTTGCAAGGATTTTTTGGCCAGAAGTAGATGCTGTGTAGTGTACATGCAACAAAGCAGAAACTTTCAATTAGTGTCATATATGTGGTGTACCCACAATGAATCTCAGTAAGTCTCAGTAAGGGATTTGCAGGAGGCAGCAGCTGAGTACACTCACACTGCCACCTCAGCCCATTCTATTACTTTTTACCCCCCAGTTTCCAGGCCTGTGTCAGTCACAGGAACTGGGCAGGCTTCTGTGCATTAATCACAGGGGAATCTGAGATGTCCTCAGAATCAGTACAGGGAAAAATTTGCAGGAAGAAAACGAAAATGTGTCAAGGAATGTGATGGGTGCAGCAGAAAAACATTTGTTTGTGAAAGAATGTATCTGGTCTTTGTTTATAATGCACAAATAAAAATTGTATTCCTTAATCCTTTTTTTTTTTTTAAATATATATATGAAGCCAGATTTTGGAAAGTGTGCCTTTTTTTTCTTTTCCCACATCTTCTATGCTATCAGAAGTCTAGAGATGTTACCTTATAAAGCACAAATACCTAACAGATAACAAAATCTAGGTCTCTAAGTGCACTCAGTTCCATGCATTATTCTTAAGCTATATCTAATAAATGAACTATAGGACAACAGTTTAGGCTCAAATACCTCAGGTATGAAACACATCCACTTAAAGGAAGTCAGAGGCTCAGTTCTGAGTGTTTCAATCCATATACATGTTCCTTACATGCACATAGGAATGCTTGCATTAATCAACATTAAGATTTCTTTAAATAAAAGTAAACCTCAATCCCAATATTATATTCCAGTCTACATCTTAAAATAATTTAAATCCTGTAAATCATTCCTTTGTTCTGAAATGAGATATTTAATTATAGCTATAGATATTTATTAAACTTCCCCAAACAATCTAGAAGAACAGTAAGTTTCCTGGCTTTAGTGTAGCCAGCACTATTCATTCCACAAGCACTGGAAGAACCGTCACCTTTATTCAATTCAAAGTTGTATTTTTATCTATATCTCCTAATTAAAAGAAAATGAGTAATTAATTCTGTTTTAGAAAGACCTCCTCTCTTTTTCAGTAACACTACACATAGTAAAACTAAGTGGAAGCAGAAGAATTTCCATAATGCCTTTGTCATTAATGAAAATAACCTGATTTTTAAAGCAGTAAGATTAGAAAATACTTTTGTAGTAGAGGCAGATTTATTAATGATACCTTATGCATACTAATTTATTATTCCCTAACAGTTAAAATCTGGAAACTTTTAAAAGAAAAATGTTTTGTTCAAAAGTTAAGCTTTGTTAAAAAAAAAATTCATTCTGCTTGTCCTTACTGCATAGAAAAGTCTTGTGACTCAGCCTGACAGTCCTTATTAGTACAACACACGTTTGTTACTGTTTTCTTTTGATGTAATCTTCCTAAGAGGAGGAGGAACTGTATTTTAACAGCTATCCAAGGGCATGTTTTATAGGCACACAGCACAGAATTTATGCCTGAATATAATCTGAATCTCATCCATAACTCTGATTTGGCTGGGAGAACAAAGCATTTCATTGTGTATTCAATAATGGTTTCAGCAATCTTATTCACACATTCCTTCCTTCCTTAATCAACAGAAACTGGCTGAATTCAAGAGGCATGATTGGGGTTGGGGGGGGGGGAATAATGCCAAGGCCTATAGTTTTGAAATCACCCTTTTCTTCAGAGCAAGTAATAATGTGTCTCCTATTAAGAGTCTCTTAATGCAAGACTTGTCAAGCTATTTTGCACCATGTCCTTTCCTACTGAACTTTGCCCTGTTCCCTCTTAGCTGGCACGGGGCTATGCCTGTGCCTCTGTTGCTTCCACTTCCAACAACTGAGCTTTCCAGGGATCACAGGGCACAGTTTAGGAACCACTGTCTTGTGCAAAGGTTAAAGGTCTGAACAGACAATCTGAAAACCAGCGATCTTGAACTGGCAGAATATTGCAATGTGATCTGGTCATTCTTTCGAATTGTTTTTCATTACCCACATTATAAACAGAAAATCGGGGCTGTAAAATAAAATCAAAGTGCACACAGCTGTGATTCCTGATGCTGTACTTTGTAATGCCATCTGAAGCCAAGTCTGTCTCTTTATCATCTAACTTCTTAATTAGGTTTAATGTACTTAGTTGTATCTCTAAAAAGCCTGCCTTCCTAAGGAGCGTGAATCAGGAATGCACAAAATGGCTGTTTTTAAAAAACACCCTGTTATATGAAGATATCCTTTCATTTGGAAGTATTTCTTGGCACTAGAGCTCACTGAGGATGTTTAAAAATTTTGTGTATTATTTAAAATAACTTTTGCTAAGGAATGGAAGAACACCTACCTGAACTTATGCAGTCAAACTTTGTTTGCAGATGCATCGATGTAACTTAAGACAGAATTTGCCCATTCCTTACAAAGTTACCATAAACAGTGTTTGTTGACACAATAAGGTCTGTGACTGTAAAGGTCTTGCTAAGTTATAACATGTACTGTTAGAACACTACATTTTTTAAGCATACTGATATTTGTTTGTTTAAAACAACATTATTTGGTTAATAAAATATTCAAGACTGATAAGCAATAACGCTGAAACCAATGCTTTTACTTTTTATTTTCAGGTCTGAAGTAGAGAGTACAAGCTTGTGTATGTTTTCTTATCAGTGTTACATGGCTGAAAGCTGTCAGCTGTTCACATGCCATATTAATAAATATGCCCAAATCATAAAGCTTTAACTGTATTTGCACATTGCTTTTATTACTAGACTGTTTTATTCATCTTGGCACAGATAATCCATGCAAGGTAGTTACTCACATCTCATAAACCACACTATATTCTGTTCTGAAATAACTAGAAACTTAGGAAAAAATATATATCTAAAAGCAAGGGCACTTGTGGCATCAAGTCAATATGTCAATATATTATAAAACCTAGACTTCTAATATATGATCACTGCAGGCAATAAATCACTCAGTTTCAAATTCTGATGTTTATAAATACTAAACAAATTAATATCCGCTACCAGGAGACGAGTCTGGCAAACAAACATTAGCGTGCCCAGCATTAGACACTAATAAGTGTGTTCAGTGCTGTGGAAATTCACATTATTAAACATAAATACAAATAATCTTTAATAAAACATTTCACCCAAAATACTGACCACTGAAGGACCAAAGAAAAAAATATTTTTCTTTGTTTTGAATTGATTTTAGAACTGTGTAATGTGTGAATCCAATATAGTAAAAATTAACTTCTAAAAAAAAGAAGTCCTAAGACTGGTTTTTTTGCCTAGATAATAAAAGCAGTCCTCTTTGGAAATATTTAATTTACCTTGTTCTTCAGAAAGAACACAAAAAGAGAGAAAAGCATTAAGATAGTTTTTGAAGCCTTAGACTGAAAAGTTATTGAACACTTTTTGTTAGATGAAAGACTGGTCTTTTTAATTGATCATTCAGAGGTACAGTATCTTTGCTTTATTAGGTAAACCCCCACATTAATTAGAATGAAAAGAAATATTCAGAGGAACTTAGGACTCATCCTAGGTATCTATTACAAGACATAAAACATAAACAAGTACACATTATTAACCTTGCATATTTTTGTACAACATTATGTTCGGTGATAATTGAAAGGCCATGTTTTGAATTTCAGATATATATATTATATATATGCATTTTACACTCTCCATATCACAAAGGTGACATGTGGCAGAAGAGTATCAGCAGTTATGTGGTAGCCTACCCCTGTGAAAGTTAAAATGCTACATTATTCAAAAATTTCTGATTCAGATATGTGCAAAAATTATATCTTAATATAGATATCAAGGGCGGGTACGTGGATTCCCTATTTTTGGACCACATTATGAAGCAGCACAAGTCATAACAGGAAATTTTTATTACATGATAATCCTCAGGGTATCTCTGTTCTTCATTCAGAGATACCACTGCACCTCATATAGTGATATGTAAACTAGCTTTAATCTCACTTGCTCAGACACCAGCTGGAGTCAGGGCATGTGCTACAGTGCAGGTTATCTGCCCAAGGAAATTTTCAAGACTCTCTCAAGTTAGTACGGCTCCCATTGAGAAGGAAATTTTCAGGATTCTCTCAAGCCAGTACAGCTCCCACTGAAGTCTGTGCTGCTGCATTTTCGCTGTTGCCACCCCACGAGTTCAGCTCAGCTCTGCTTGTGGATGTTGCATTCACTTTTCTGCAGCGCTGACTTCAGGTTTAGTACGTTGGGATTGGATCCTCGCTCACCTCTTCTGTACATACTCACAGCACCTCTCTGGGCTATTGTGAGCTACTTGTACCCTAATTTCTTAATTCAAGCCCTTTCCCTGACTGTAGTGAGTCATCCTGGCTATGCCCCCACCTCTGTTCCCGCTCTGCCCCACCCCAACTACCCAACGTGTCAGCCTGGTGAAACCGGCCGTACCTGGCTATTCCCCCCACTCCAACCCCAGCCTCAAGAAGGGCTTCCCTTACCTTTTTACACTCACCCAGAGGTCCCCAGAGCCCCCATATTCTGGCTGCTGCAGGAGCTCTGCCTTCTCTGACCCAAGCCCCCCTTCCCCTGCCCACACTGAAAGCCCCGTCTCCCACAGCCCTGTCCAAGCCAGCAACTCCAGCTGCCAGTCTGGGCTCCTCAGTGGACTTCAAGAAGGGACAGTCTCAGCTACACTGTGCCTATCAACAACATCTCCCAGCCTGTAGCCCTGCCTAAGCTGCAGCCCTCCAGCTCTGGCCATATCCTAGAATGCTTCATCCTTCACGCTGCCAGGGAAGCTTTTAGGGACATTGAGGGGGAAGGTGGAGGGAGAATGAGACACACACACACACATGTGCACATCAGAGGTGAAAGACCTCCTGAAATTCTCCTGAGGCTTCCACCACAAGCCCTACCATTTTGTGTCTTCCCATGGAGCCTGACTCCCTGTTTTGATGTTGCAGTCAGAGACTAGTCCCAGTCAGTGGGTAACACAGAAATCTGTCTAAAGAATATCTTCAATGCAGTCTTAGTATATATAGTATGCTGATATGAATTCTCTCAAATAACAGATAATGACATCATTTTGTAGAATGACATTGAAAAATGAAAAGGAAATCTAGAATTTTCTCACTGTTGTGAAAATGTATTTAATGAAGTCAAATTAGGGGTGGAAAAAAATATTTAACTTCCATAATTACTATTTATTCCTCTGGAGAATATTGTGAGCCAGATCTTTGGATTTTGTAATCTATGGAACCATATTCATACCAGCCCAGCACCGACTGAAAACAGAAAATTTGCTTGCTTATAGAAAAAAAAAAGGCTTTGCATATAATGTACTAGTGTTTTAGACTAATTCATGCATACAAAAATCTGAGCCTGTAGCACTCAGGTCAGATCACTGCTAAGATCAGTGAAAACTAAGATACCTACTGAATAAATACCAGTCATACATGTCAAAACTGCCACAGGCAGTTCAGTTTGTTATTTTTGTCCAAGATGCAAACTGCCTGCAGCTAACTTAACTCTCATATTAGAATTCCAAATTTCTTTTATTCCTCTCCCAAACTTTGGACAGTTTTTCGTTCCTTGAGAGACACATAAATATCTTAAAATGGGCATTACCCATAGGAAGGGCAAGGCAGATAATGTTATGTAATTTTTTTCTTGCTCAAAGCACAAGGTAAAATAGGTGTAGATGGCACCAGCATGTGGCCCACAGAATGCAACCTCAGCCTCAGAAATACTAATTCCAAACTGTCAGTACTGCAAGCTGTCAGCACACACATTGTAATTCTCACTTAAACGAGTTAATAAAACTTGAACAGTGATCAGACTTTCCATCTTAACTCCATCAGACAGAACTGATGTCTCCAGTATAAAAGTAATTGCTATTTAAAAATTCAGAAGTGTTATCAGTACTACAAGTTTTGCTCATTTGAAAAAAATAAAAAAAAAAATGTTGTATAAATAACTGTTTGAGCAACTTGAAAGTTGTTCTTAAAATATTAGAAGAAAGATGTCTGTATGGTTCTTAGAAAAGGTGGCTGTATGGTTATCCTAATTGTCAGAACCTAGGTACTGTTTTACAATGGCAAATACTGCTACAATTAATGATGTGTTGCATTTAAACTAAGAAAAGTAATACAGAGCATGTGCCTGCTGCCTCATGAATTTTTAATCAATGTTAATTTACTATAGGAAAAAAAAATGCATTTTCCTAATTATGTGAGATAGAGTAGGGAATCTTCCACTTCCTGGTTGTGCTAGATGGATGTGTTTCTTCTGTATTCATCAATGTGAAGGTCCAGATGTAGATTTCTACCTCCCTCTGGTATCAACGGGAATTAGAATCCAAAGAGACTTTGAATTTATTTTTTTTATCTCAAGAGGAAAGGAAAACTGATTTTGAATTAAAAGTTGGCCTTTCCAGATAGCTCTATTCCATTCAATGTCAGAGCAATTTGGAGAAAGCCAGTTGTCCCTTTTCCATTATGATTTGAAAGTGAACTGATCTACTGTACACATATAAGCCAAGTGCCCTGGCAAGGCTGACCCAACATGCTTTTCTCAATCTTACTGGGTTATGGGAGGAGTTATTCCGTTTCCACTTCATTTTCAAACTGTTATGGATTGTCACCTAGGCTTCCCAGCTACATATGGATTCAAGGCAGACTTCTTATTTGGAAAGAATCTAAAATATCTGATGCTATGAGGTAGCACCACAACATAATGGAATAGCACTCACTTTCATAGAGGAAGCCCTAATCTATTTATTTCCCTTTGAAAGCTATGGCCTTTGGTTCTACAGATGACTGTACATATGGCACTTACTCATTCTTGCTGTGAAAGAAAATGACTTACTACAAAAGGATTTTTTCCAGGTTTTTTTAAACACCAGTGTGTGGTCTAAGCAGTAAAACTGCTGTGGGTAGTTCATTTGAAACTGTATTTGCACATTACTTTTTATATTAAGGTTTTCGGTTAATTTCAAGATTTTCCCCAACTTTTGCTCTAATAACAGACTAGTTCATTAGTTCATTTGGTTTTGACTGTTCATTCAGTAGGTTTTCATGTGAACCTTGCAAAAAAAGCACGTTCTGCATTTATGAAAGAGGATAAAGTTAAACTTCTGAAGTACCAACTGCCTAGCTTTTACCAAGGGAAATGCTAGCCATGGTTATCAACTTTATGATTGCCCAGTTAGTCATCTGTTTTACCCCAGCATTACCAACTACCAACTCTTCTTTTAAACATTGATGGCATGGGCATGCTTCTTGCACAGAGGCTTATCCTTCTTGGAGTAGAATGGCTGACCTTCCAAATTCACGTGGCATACCTAGAATTAATAATAAATACAATCAGGAATAATTAAGGGGGAAAAAAAGAGTGAGATAGATGTGACTATCAATTTCAACTGCACTTCTCTTCTGCCCATGCATTTCATTGCTAGAAGTGCATTTGATTTCCTGGATCAAAGTGCATGCCTTGGTAGTTTTCCTACTCCACACAGAGGTCAGGCTCTGGTCTGCATCAGCTCTCCTATCTGTACTTTCCTGACACCCCTGCCCACTAAGTTTACTGGTACACGATCCCCTGGGCAGCTTTGACACATCCAAGCGGTGTTTGTATAGACTGTCAAAGGATATTGGCACACTGGAGCACATGCTCCAAATTTCAGACCTCGATTCTGATCCTTTATCACACACAGGACTTCCCAAAGGCTCTGGTGAGGTGCCATGCTCCCAGGGGCACCAGCCTTTCATGAGACCATTAGATATCCACTTCTACTGGCACTTTTTCTTGGTACTGGCACTTATGTGATCAAGGAGTGAGTCATTTAGACAGCCATCACTGAATACTAATTACTTATTCTTACCAGGTTACTCTGCAACCCCAGAGTTCTCTGCCTGGCTGCCTTAGGTGTCGGTGTTGACATAACAAAGCAGGTCAGAATGCACGGCTGGGGTGGGGCAGCCCAGGTTTAGGTCAGCTCTGACTGCCCTGGAATTGCTCAGGTGTCTACACAGGGTAGTGCAGCACCACTTGCAAGGTCAGAGTTGACTAGAACCACTTAAGGCAGGCAACACATCACAGTCTAGAAGTAAGAGTAAACATTGTCCCTAATGCTTATGGCAGGCTTAGGTGGCAACATCAGATGTGCTACTGCACGTTGCAGGATATGAGGATAGCATCTTAGAAATCAGGAGTCAGGTGTTGATTTGCATTTGACTTAACCCATTGAAAGAAATAAAGTTAGGTCCTAAAAAAAAACCCACTGTGAGGCATAATAAAACTATCACCTCCACAGAAAACTGGGTAGCTGAGGTAAATGAACGAGCAAAAAAAGAACATGAAATATTCAGAGAAAGTGTCTTTTATAAGTGATCAGTATTTATAAGTGATTAATAGCTCTCAGTTTGTGAAGGAAACTCTCTTCCTATGTTAGAATTTCCAAAATACTTCAGTTTTCACAAGACACTTTTGTGTCACTCACTTCCATGTACCCCTGAGAGACCAGCAGCTAGTTTAGCTTTAGATATTTATAAACATTTCTATACTTTCAACTCTTCAACCTAAATTTTAAAGTTAAACAAACATTAGAAATTGTCACTGTCAGTTTGGCGTGGCCAACGTACTATTTTTAGCTAATTAGAGGTTCTAGATATTATCACTTTAGGAATATTTTGTTGTAGAGCTGCACAGCAGTATTAGAACCAGATGAAAGTACTTTTATCATATGGATTTTTCTGCTTTGTGTGCAGAGTGTGGGAATATGGCCACCCTCTATAGCTGTGTGCACACCACAGATTGATGAGTTTACCCAACTTCTGTGCTAACTACTATTCATTCTCTCTAAACAGACTCCTTTTTGCAAGTTTCAACAAGCATTCTGCTTGGAAAGACAAACTTTGCTGCTTTTTAAGTAAGATTATGGTTATGCTGTTCAGTATGGTGTTAATTTATTTTCAATCTTGCTTTATCTTTATTTGGTAAACACTGGAAAGAGTAACAGCAATAGTGGTAGGTATTGCTGTATGTACTCTCTAAAACTGGATGTTTTATCAGAAAACAATCACTTGTGACGGTCAGATTTCATAATTCTAGTAAAAGTTTATGGAGGAGAAGAGAAATAACTCCCATCCTTCTCCATCTGCAAGTATAAAATGAAATTCCATCCCTCCACATCCTTAGGCGTATGTTAGTCATTCCTGCTTTCAGGTTTTCTGATGTTACTACACAATTTGGGAGTATAAAGGAATGAGATAGTATTTGGTGTAGAACCTACAGCACAAATGAAGCAGGTATCATGCCAAGTGTGTCCAAGAGCTTCAATGAATTTGTCTCCAGCTTCAACAGGATAATCACAGCCATGGCATTTTGTGCTGAACAAAGCAATATAATCTAAAATAAAACAGAAAGCAAACTTAGAACAAACTCTTAATGTCATTGTATTAAATCCAAGAGAAATAGAAAGTTTCCAGACAATTAATCTTTTGATTGTTTTTGCTCAGTTTCCAACTACATTCACTGAAACACTCATACTGAAATTTGGTTATTTTCTTTCGTTTTTTCAATACAAACTCAGTTCAAAACTCCACATCAGTATTACATTTGTCATCACAAATCTAAAAGACAAACAAAAAAATTCATGGAATTTGAACTTATGTTTCTCACATTACTTTTAAATTAGCTTTAGTATATGTGGAATCTGTTAATAAGGACAAATATGGTCATACAAAAGAGTCTAATGGCCAGGGAATGTTACAAGTTTTCATCACTGGATTTATGTTCTTTCTGCATTGAGAGAATATTATGATAACCCCATACTGGCTGATTAGTACATCTTTACTTTGATTACCAAGTGCACTTGGGAAAGGCTTGACATTGAAAAAGATTAGTGGAAATTCTAAAGGTAGATGGAATTCATGAGAGTCATTAGATGTTATGACAAAACCTCCAATTTTAAAAGGTAGGTGCCCAGTCAGTTCAGCTGTGTGGTTTTTACTAAGAGTTACTCTGATTTGTAAAATTTGAATTGTATAAACCATAAGGAAGGAATCTCCAGAGAGAAGTAGGCCGGAGGCTCTTTGAATGGACAAGGGGATACAGAGGGAATATCACTTAAACCTTAACCTCCCTCCCGACCACGTCAGGCAGCTCATTTGCATGGCAAGTACTGTTTATTAAACCGTATTACTCTTTCCATAGTTTGGGAAAACTTGGCCTTTTCCTTTGTTAGTTGGCAAGAAGGAGTTCATTTGTTGCAGCAGCCAGAAAAACAAAATCTGCACTACCATGTGTTGCACATCTGTGCAGAGCTATGTTTTCATATATGGTGGTTGAACAATTTTAGAGCGAGGCAGCGGCATCAGAGATCATAACTCAAGTGATTCAATAGAGAGATTGTGGGCAACCCTAAAGTAATAATTTTTCATTTCTAGTGAGCAGAATTTGCCAAGGAAGGGAGTGGGACAGGGGAAAAGGTGTAGGAAGAGAAACGCAAAGTAAGTATCATAATACATGAGGGAGAGAAGTGAGGTGAGCCATTCTGGGACATTGAGGCAAAGACCAGCTATTCTATCATATTAACTCGAGAAAAATACAGAGACAGAAACACTTGTATATGTGGAGAGTGGAAACAAAATCAATGTTGGGTAACTGATTTTATCTTTTCATCAGCTGCTTTATTCTTATGTTTCTTCCACGAACATGAAGCACATGATTATGAGCAGAACTTTCCAGTTTGCCATACCTTTCTCACAGTAAGGTTCCCCGTCCTCCATGTGAAACAGGCTATTCCCAAATGGCATCTTACAAGCAGCACAGACAAAGCAACTTGTATGCCAAGTCTGTCTTAGGGCATGCATCACTTCCTGTAAAACAAACAAACAAACAAAAATCTCCAGCAGAAGAGCAAGCCCTGCAAGAACCTACCGGAGAATTAACACAAGGCAGAGATTCTCTACATTCTTCCCTTCTTTATCAGCCAATTCCCTTCCCCAAAAGAAATAATTATGACAGAAATTGGACTCCTTCTGGAAAGAAAGAGGAAATAGGACTGCAAACTTTCTAGAACGATGTATTTGCCAAAATGAAACAATATGGTTCAGCCAGCTGTTTGTATCAACATGCCCAGTTGCTGTTGCAGGAGAGATTCTGCACAAAGATTCTGATTATTTTCCCCTTTGTTTTGTCACGACTAGTATGAACTCTTCAGTGCGAGAATATGATTTGTTAAATGAATTTTAAAGGGTGATTTTCTCTCTAAGACCAAGAATAAGTGATTTAAGTCTGTTGTTTCAAAACAGTTTAGATAATGTAGCAATTTCTTTATGCTTCTTACAAGAATGATTCACAAACTAATGTGAAAATCTAAAAAAAAAAAAATTCTTAGATTTTAACTTATGTAAACTTCGTAAAAATGAGCCTGTGTGTCTGTTCCTAGACCATGTGTTTAGCCCAAAAAACCCTAATTCTGTGCAACTGATGTTCTCTTAAACTGAGCATCTAGATTTTATCAGCTTCTGACTTCTTTATGAAGCAATCTCTATCACTGCTTCATTCTTTTGTCATACAGAAGCCTTCCAAGCCCCAAAGCTGCTGTACTGAGCTCTAATGCACAGTTACCTGCTAATTTGTTCAATCTTACATGTGCCCAGGATGATGTTTGACAGTGTATCTCTGTCAAACAGTCCAGATTTCAAAGGACCAGCTGTGTAACTGGTGTAAATTAACTTTGTTAACTTCAGTGAAAGAGCTCTGATTTATACCAGCTGAGAATTTCCATCCTATTTTTTGCTGTTTCCAATTATGTACATAGACTCTGATTCTCTTCTAAAGATTATTTTTAATGTCCAGTGATTTTGACAAAATGGATTGAAGTCCTCTTCCATGCTTTTAATCCAGTGAATAGGCAAAATACTCTTATTTAGGTTTGCCATATATCTTATTAGAGAATCACCATTTGAGATTCATTAACTTCTGTTACCGTTTGCAAAGCAACCATCACTGATAAATAGGTTTGGATCCATTTATGAATGTCAGTGAAGTAAGAAGCAAAAAATAGCTTGAGAAATCTTAATAATATAAATAGAGGCAGCTGGCATCTTTGCTGCTTTCCTGATGAAAATCCATAATGGGAAACTGCTTTGTGCCAGCATTCATTAGGTAACTTAAGTCAGTACTCTGCTGTAAAATTACTCCTACTGCTGCAGTAGCAAATGAGACTTGGTTTGGTTGGAGCCAGAGCTTCACCATCAATGTCTGATGCTGCCATCCCTAATTGGCAATTGCAGAGAAGAGCATCTAGTCTGTCAATGCAAACATTTAGACAGATGTCAAAGGTGACAGCTAAGCGGTGAAAAACCAATGTGGTGTTCCTGGCTTCCTCATTTAAGAGGATCATGTCATATATTCACTACAACTGCATGTCCAAATACACTGCTAAAATTATCTCATGGTATTCCAACCTCATCACCATCTAAGCTATATGGAGAGCAAATTTAGTTGTACATTTACTTGTATATAAGTACTTCAGCACAAAAGTGGCATGTAGTTTTGGTTTTTCTGGAATTCAGTCTTTGTATTTGTTCTGTATTTTCTTAACTATAAGAAGCCAGCTGTGTTGGTAACTACCAGTGAGGTGCAGCAAGAGCAACAGGCCTCCTCCCAACATCACTGAGTTCTCCACTGAAATTTTGACTAAGCCCTGAATAAGAAATAAAAACCCAGTTCAAGTCTCTTACTATAAGGAACAGAGGGATAAAAGTAACATAGTGTGTATTGGATAGCAAAAAACTACCCAGAAAGTGTTACTTTACACTCAGTGAGATGGTAACTGGACTACATATTCTACGAGTTGAATAACTACAGAAATATCCAAGAGTTCAAATAGATAAAAATTATTATAAAATAATATGTTTCTCATTCTGAAATAATCAACAGGCTGGGAAATAATTCTTAAAAAGAAGGAAATAATAAAATATCTACATTCATTGCTTACAGTCTAAACTATTTCACTACTTCAGTGATCCACACAGTTGGAGAAAGGGTTATTGTTGCTTTCTTACCCCCATGATCTTAGTGTGGCACCTGGAACAGGTTGGTGCAAAGAACTGTTCATAGCAGCGCTCACAGTACACACTATTCTGCTCCTCCACAAAGCACATATCAGCCAAGGATGTCTTGCAGTAAGCACAGTTGAATTCTTCTGGGTGCCAAGAGCGACCCATGGCTACCAGGAAGGGACCTCTGCAAACAATCATGGTTATCTCATTTGTATTGCAAAAAGACTGGAAGACCCTGATTGCAAACCCACCTCGTCAGACACCACGTACATGTGTAAGAAGCATTCTAATTGAACCTTGAGGTGCACATTAGAAACATCCAAAAGCCTGAACAGAAACGGCTTTTTCAAGACCATTACTCATATACACTGCTAATGGGTTAAAACATTTCATTATTACTTGGTCACATACACTGGATTTATAGAGAACTGTTGGAAAAATCATCAATTGTTTTCATATTTGCATAGCTATAACAGGCCTTTGTAAGCAGCTGCAAAGACAACAGGAAAAGGCCAAGGGTTGCAACACAGAACATAATGCTACTATTTGAAAGCATCAAATAACAAGCAACTTTCTAGACCTACACATCCACACCTCACAATAGCTCCTAAAGTCTCCTGCCTTCTTTTCATCTCAGAGCAGTGCATGTAGCATGTTCTGGAAATGCCAGACTGTCAGATGACAACTTGCTGTTTCATTATGTGGAAGACACATTAAATTAGTTTTGGTGATTGACTCTTGATTGTAGTTAGATATAGAGATTATTACTGGAGTATTTCCATTTCAGAATACATAAAGAGCAATAATCAGTATTTCCACATCACCAAACTAGCTCCTTTTAGTGGGGAAGACTGTCATTAAACATGGATTGCTTAAAGTTGGATAGCAGTCCACAGGCTAACAGTAGGCACTGGTCCAGCACAATGAACTGGGAGAGGAAAAGGGAGAGGCATGCTGTGAATCACTGGTAATAGAGTGTAGGCATTATCTTTCTCCAGACACAAAACCAACAATTACATTTGGCTGCTGTTCCAAAATGATGCCTCGTTCTTTTTCTGTCCATAATCCCCTTCTCTGCCCCCAGACCCCCAACTCTCCTAATTAAGTTGCACAAACGTCCTTCAAAGGGTTACCTTAGGACCAGAAACCTGTTTAAAAAACAAGCAGTGATTTGCTACAGCATCCAGGAGACCAACAATTAGCATGTATAACTTTGCAGTGATAAAAAGTGAACCACACAATAACAAAATGAGCTCTGGAAATGTTAAATTAATGAGGCAGACAACAGACATCCCTGCTGGGTAATTTAACAGAGTCTTAGGCTCTGGTACTGTATGTTAATGTACAATAACCAGTCTCTCTGATATTTTTTTCTGCTTCATCCTTCTTGAAGACCTCATGCCCTTACCGAATGATGCTGTTGCAGTGCCCACAGAGAGGAGTTCGGCTGCTGGCTGGGAAACGCTCAGCCCTCTGAACTGTTCCCCGGGCTATTGGAGGCTGGGAAGAAGTTGGAACTGGAGATGGGTAAGCAGAGGTTGAGGCAGGAGATGACACTGGAGCACCCCTTGGTAGGATGTGCTTTGTGACAGTGGTGGTGGATTTTCCAGGCGCAAATTTCTGGGAAAAGGAGTCATCTGTTACCCAGGGAGGGCGACTTGCAGGCTCCGTGTTGACTGGAGTGTAGGAATGAACTGGTGCTGGTGCTGGTGCTGTTTTAAGTATCCCAAAAGAAACCAAGAAGTATTTTAAAGTCTTTTCATTCTGATGGCAATACAGCAATACTTACCAAAGGGTACTCCATGACACACAAAAAGTAAAAGCTTCAGATGATACTTAATTATTGTCTGTTCCATTATTGCTCATTTATTCTGAAGTGAAGCCCAGGATATCAGCACAACTACTGACTTTTAATCCACATGCATCACAGAAGTCATTGCCTACTGGCTTTTACAGATTTTATGGAGACCATTTTCAAGGTCATCTCTTAATTTTCTAGTAGGAATGGATATGACAATTCTGTGTTAATTCTGAAGGCTGCCATATAATCTGTTTAAGACAGGTTAAAAACAGAAAGGCCAGATCATATAATAAAGTTTTAGATGGAATTCCTCAGAATTTTCATAAGTTATGCTTAATTTTTGGTCTCATTATATTCATTCAAATGCAAGATTTTCTACAGATGTCACTGTTATCTATCATTTGTGGGTTTATTCCTTGGTTTCTGAAGAAAAACAGGCTCACACAGGGAACACAGAGATAGAGAGCACTGGAAGCAAGACTGAGGGAGCGAATTCAGCTCACATGACCAGCAAGACAAAGCCAAGAGCACTTAGAGGAAGGCCAGACTTCTGGTTATGACTGATCTCAGTTCAGTTCTTGGCTCTGCCACAGACTTCCTGTATAACTTTGAGCAAAGTGTAGTATCTCTGTGTCTCAGTTCCTGTGTATAAAATAGAATATTACACTTTCTTTTTTCTACCCTTTGACTATCAGATAAAATCTTCAGTGCAGACTGCCTCCTGTGTTTGTGTGCACCAGGCTCTAATCTTGGGTGGAGCTTTATCATGTAAAAATAAGCAGGAGCTACAGCCTGCACATACCAACAAGTTTTCCCATTGCCCTGCTCTGTTTAAAACACCAGATCTCGCATTATGTAGGACTGAAGTTACTGCCAAGTACAGGAGCACTAAAAGCAGTTTTCCTTTGCAAGGAAAACAAAGTGAATGACTGAAAAGAAGCCTGGACAGTTGAAGTGTTTTGCCCAAATGAGAGAGCACAGATTCAGGAACAGAAGCCAGTTCTGCAGCAGTTTAGGCAGACATTCTGCATAAGAGATCCCAGCGCCAATAAAATGATGACCAAATACAACATGGACAGTTTTAAGGGGCTTGCAGTTAGAAAGGTATTTCAACCAAGAGAGTTCTGAGTGTTAACACAGATCTTTCTGAATAATTAAGTGAGATATTAAGTGGTGAGATTATGTTCTACTTAACACTCCTCCCATAGCCCACATCCTGCTACATGGAATAACTTGCACTTGTTATTGGCAATTTGCAGGTGCTTAAATTGCATATATATCAATGCACTACAATCACCTTCATGATCTTTTTATCGAGGTCAGAGTTGACTCTAATGCATTTTCTTGATAAAACTTTCTTATTCTACAGTATCAACAAGTTTCTGCTTCAAAAACTGTATCCCACCTTAGCTTGAGGCTTCCTTTTTTTTTTTTTTACTTGGAAACGGTAGACAGTGTTTAAAGATTTCAGAACAGAGTTTATATGCAATCTCTTTAGATCCCGAGGCTGTTGCTATTTATGTATTACAGTATTAAGATAGGCAAAATTAGAAGGTAATATTTCATCTCTAATTGGTGAGTTCAAAAGGCTCTCACTTATGAGCCTCTCTAATTAAATAAGGTGACTTCTAGCTCACTTCATTTTGCGAAAGGATTCTCCCTCCCCTAAAAGTGAGCTGTGGTTCATGCAGAGGATGGCCGTGTATCCCACAGAGGGCCTAACAAAATGGGCAGATACTCAAACCCAGAGTTCCAGAAAGAAAGAACAAATACAGTCCAGGTACCATTTTTAGGATGTCTTTTTCTATTATTGTCTTTACTAAATTCAGCTTATAGACTTTTTGTTTGTCATTTTTTTCTTCCTTAATGTCACGGTGTTGGTGTTCTATTTTTCCAGGCTGAATATGATTTATCTGGGTTCAGATTAATCTAGACCCCTTTGAAGGATAAATATTGGGGAAAAGTCTTTGTCTTTCATTCTCTTTACCTTCTATTTATTTTTACTCTGTCTTTTCTACTTGCTGCGGTAAAATAAAGCAACCAAATAGGATTTTTTTTCCAGTTACTGAAAGAAAGTACCAGAGGAATTAATGCAAAATGACAAATCTTGGGTGTTTGCAACTGCTCTGAGTTTTCTTTTCAGCTGTTGTAATTTAATTTTACAGGCTTGATTTCTTACAATACATTTTCCCCCGTGAACAAGCTGCAACTAGTATTGATTTAAAATAGTGTCATTGCAATGTAATAGAAAGATTTCACTTACTTTGAGATTTTGGCATTTGTTATTAAGAAGGCATTATTATCTTATTATCTTAGAACTGTATCCCTAAGCTTATTTGAACAACTTTTTTGTCTTAGTAGCTACTGCCATACACATTCACCTTCCATGTTTATGTATTTCCAAGTCTTTCAGCATATATGCAGCAGAAAAAAGGGGCTGTTTGCTGCTGAAAAAGTACTAAGATTCAATATATCAGAGAATATATTCTTAAAATATCAGTGTTGTATGAGCTGACCACAACCTGTTAAAAAATTAATACTTTAGATAATTCAATGAACTAACCTCTATCACCTTGTTTCTCTCACCCCTCAGATTCTCTTAGAGAAGGAAAGAATGAATGGGATTATTTTTATCCTGAGAGAATGGCAGAAGAGGTCTCTTAGCAGCAGTAGGAACAAGCCAATTCCTTGCTTCCGGGGAACTTGGAATTCTCCCCATCAATGTAGTATCAATGGCTATTTTCCCTCCAGACAAAAAGATATGTTACCAAAGACTCATTTAGTAAAGATTTATGTAGTCTCAAATGCTTTAGTCATAGACCAGCTCACATTGTGAGAACAATTTTCCTTTTTTTTTTCCTTTGTTAGTAGATGACATAAGTTATTCTTTATTATTTTCAGTAACAAATGAAATTCATAACCACAACTGATTTGGCTTGTTCTAGTCTTAGTGGCCACATCCTTGAAGCTCAAAAGTTTTCCTGTACACTGTTACAGAATACAGTAGATGACAGACAGAGCAGATGATGCTTTATAAGGAGACACTATTCTTATTCAGAAGAATTAAAAATGAAATTATATGTAGGCTGCTGTTTTAGTAATGAAGGTGCTTAGACTTCATTGTAAAGTTCATTAAGGTCTGTGGGAATCTGTCTACCAGTTTCTAAAGGAGCAGATCAGGCCTTTATGCTTGACCACTTTGCATACACGAGTAGTCCTATTTGGACGTGGGGATTCAAAGGAAAGATCTGCTTTCTTACACTTCGGTATCATGTTACTTCGTGGCACAAAACTGGCGTTTGAGTTCCTTGGAATATGAGAAAGAGCTATCCCAGTTTGGGAAAGTCTAGGGGAAAGGAATACACAGGGATACCCTGCCATCTAGTGGACCTTGTTCAGAAGAGATGTCTATATGCCTTTTAAAAATGAAATTTTAAGGGGTCATGAAATTTAGAGAAAAGATTTTAGTGTTCACAGCTTTTCCTACAGGAAGAAAATAAAGATTTTTAGCAGCAGAAAATTCCCACGTGAGTTAGGTTAGTCAAAGTTTAGACCTCCTGATTACTCCCATCTGAGCCAGATACTCAACAATGCAGTTTCATTTTGAGGTTTGTTTCAGTGTAAACAAGATTTACCCCTTTTCTGTTTGTTTTCTTTTTTTTTTTTTCCTAATCTGAGACAGGTTAAAAGAGTCTTGTAAATCCTTTTAGTGACTAAATCAGGTTTCTTCCTGTTGCATATATGGGCCTGTTGGCGGGTGTTGTAATCTGGAAGTTGGTGCCCCACATTTTAAGGGAAGCCGGTCATGTCACTCCCATGGACACTGATGGCTGCATAAAGACATTCCACTTCTAATTTCTACACTGCAAATTCTCCCAGCAGCCTCCACTATTTCAGCCTTTTCACACAGTGGATTCACAAAAATAGATGTCATTTGTTTAAGTGAGAGTGCAGTTATTGCAAAAGCCTAAGTTTGCACTTAGGAAGAAAAAGGTGTATTTTCTGACATATGTCATAAATTGAGAACAGCTGGTCCTCTCAGACTGAGGTTGCATTTTATACTGCAGAACAGAATTTATATGTGTTGACAAAGCTGGGTGAGGAAGTTTTTTAACTGTCTTGATGGTTTGTTTCTAAGTACTGTTCATCTGTCAGGTCTGTGGCAGGAAATGCCATTTCCTCCATTTCTTCCCAAGTGACAATTTCCCATTTGCTCAGGACTGCAACTGTCTCCAGGGCCAACTCATGTTCCAAAACCAGTGTGAAGTGCTACTACATCAAATATATAAAACTTAAAAAAGGTGTCAAAACAAACCCCAAATATCTTCAGTAAAATATCTGTCTGGAATCTCTTTTGCACCTGCACAGAATCACAGAATATTCAAAGTTGGAAGGGACCCACAGTGACCTTGGTGTTCACTTATGAAAGTATTTCAGAATCCTTCACTGGATATTTCAAACTCCTGAACAATACAGGGAGACTTACCCTTTCTTTCTCTGCCACCTACTTAAGCTTTTATTAGGAGGCAGTAGGGCTCAAAATCAGCAATATAAGGAACTTCAAAATAAAACCAGCAATGTAAGGAAGTGCAAAGAAGGTGCCCAACCCAGGGGAAAACAAAAAGATTGCCTCTTATTCCAAGTTGAATTCAACAGCCAGCTTTTTCTTTAATAGATACAGCTAATAACTGCAAATAGCTGCAGATTTATTTCTGTGGCAGGTCTGTATGTTGAAAACTGGAGTTCACACTTCCCCCAGATGGGCATGGGGTTTAGTATCAATCAGTGTATTTAGGAGATATTTTGACTTGCCATAGTTTTTGCATTATTGAAATAAATCCTGTGTCTTCACCTTTCCCTTTAAAAGTAAAAAATAGTAACCTTTACCTTCAGTGAGAACACGGCATATGCTGACACACTTAACCAAAAGCAAATGAGGAAAAACTGAAGGTTTATTTACTTGGAGATCCTTAAATAGCTTATGATAGCTCTTTTCTGACTTGGCTTTTTCCACCTTTATGTCTCAAACATAAAGATCAATCAATTGATTTGTCTGGGTGCTTTATGTCTAAGTAAAATTTCTACATTTGTTTAATTTCAGTAGATCCAGAGATAGACCATTACAGAATATAGAGTTTAAGACTCTTAGAATTCTTGGCCTTTTCGTATTTACTTGACTGTCAAAATATAAATCAACTTTTTAGTTCTCTTGCTAAGATCAGAAAAACCTTAAATTTGAAACAGAACTGTATTTAGACTTATATCACTGCCTCATTTAATTTGTTCATTTTGAAGGTTCACATTTTGGTAATCAATGGCTTTAGACTTTCACTCCATTTGTAACACACTAATACAAAGGGAATTAAAATAATATCAAGGAGCATATTTTTCACATGAATGACTAACCAAATATATTCCTTCAGTTACCAGACCTCTGGAAAATGGAAGCAAAGCATTATGAAGTACATGAATACGTTATTCTTTATTTCAAATGTAAGCCTGAGTTTGAGGAGTTCAATATATGGCCTTATCTATTTTGCAAATACATTCTACTCAAGCTAACTCCACTTATTTTATCTTATTCCTGAATTGTGCATTCTTCAGCTAGTTTATCAATTCTGTAGTGTCACTGGGCTCCTAACTGTGTTATTTTCCAGCATTTAGTCCCATGTTTATAAATATTTTCTGATATATCTGTGTCCTATTGCAAAATGTGCATTCTTTGCATTTTCTTTCTCTGAAAGAAATGTGTGTGCATTTTTTTTCTGGATCCTTTCAGTACTTTGAAGGCACCTTACCTGGCTGGTAGACAGAGGGCTTTATGCTGGCAGTAGTAACAACTCTTGGTTTTGAAGTACCAGAAGCAGCAGGACTTTCACCGTAGCTTCCAGAAACTGGTATTGGTGTATATGACTGGCTTGTGTTTCTAAAAGCAAAATGTAGGCGTGAACAACTTTATAAACAGCAAAAGTTACTGACAAAGAAGTAACAGATCCGGCAGCATCCAAAGCAGTCCAAGAGGAACAGTCCATGAGAGCTACAGAGAGAATACTGTGAGATTCATCAGTCTTTATCACTGCTAAGAAAGGCTGGGACAATTGTATTAGCTGAATAAGGATTTTAAATAATGCCAGTTTACTCTAGCTGTCACAGAAAATAGCTTACCAAGGGAATATGACAAATTTGGAACTCTCAGTTTAATAAAGGATCAGACTTCAGGAACCTGCATACAAAATATCTGTTTTCTGTTCCTCTACAAACAAAAAGGCCTGGTCTTGTATAAGATAAATCAATGAGAGGTATCTTGACTTAAAAATACACTGGCTCAACACAATTACTACTACTACAAATGCTAACTATATGTGTTGTACTCTTTTCAAAAATATCATAGTGACCTTTAAAAAAACATTTCTAAAATTAATTCTTTTCCCCATTTAGACTGAAACCACAATTTACATTAATTTTCCCAATGTTCAGGTTCAGCCTACCCAAAAAACACGTGATAGGCAATATTATGATGCAATTTCTGTATTCTTAGATTAAAAACATTTGCTCAGAATTCCAAACATCCATAAGAAACAGTTCTTCTCTATTTCATGGCTTGGACGGTGATTCTCAGTTTGATTACAATAACACATTGAAATACAACCCTCTTCTGTTTGCCTTGGGATGATTCTGTTTGTATTGTCTGTGCTTCATAGGCCATTAAAAGAGCATCATAATCAAAGTAAGCAAGAGAGAAGAAAGAAGTACAAGGAGGGGAAGCAACAGATACCCAGATGTGTGCAGTAAAAAGAACCATTCACTACAGAACACTGCTCTTACTCACCCCAAAAACACAGTTTTACTTTCTTTTTCCCTTCAGTTTCTCTCTGTGTGAACCACATCCCTATCCATCTGTGCTGACAGTTTAGGAGTTATTTACACAGTGGCTTTGTCTAGAGGAAAACACTTGTCAGCACATGAAAACAAGCGTCCAGCTTTGCCAAACTCTTAGTCCATCTTGACTTCTACTTTCTTTAACAGTGGAAACAGATGCCATCTGGAGAAAACACGTTATAATTTTATGTGGCAAACCCAGCGAATTTCCTCCAGTACAGGCAAAACCCAAACATTCTGACAAACGGAAACTTTTGATTTTAAATTTTGAACAAAATAAACCTATGCTCACAATGTAGCTTTTTGCTGCTCTGACAGTCCTCCTACTATAGATCTAGCTTGCATAGCATTGCTGCCTCAGGCTAATTTATTTTGTCTATTTAGCAAGACCTAGAAACTTAGCTATTGCTACAATGGCAATAGTTAATTATTTCTGTACCTACTCTAGGGCTTAGGGCTGGATTTGGGTCCACTATACCATGAGTGAACAGGAATCTCCAAGATAAACTGTTTTAGGGGGTTTGTATTCACTGTAAGTTCTGTTGTGAATTGTGCTGTGATTTTGTAACTGTCAAAGCTGTTGTAAGCACAGTAACACTTATTTTCCCTTCTTACCATCTATTTCCTGTTGCTACCTCCCCATCTGTGGTGCCTAAGAACAAGCTGTACTCGGGGTCAGTGGACAGAGGGTCATTCCTGCTACCATAGCACAGACAGGGAGATGCACACTGCAGGCACACTGGATCCACACACAGCTTTCAACATGCCATTACCTTAACACATGATCTAAAGAATTTTCCTTGGTTTAAAATCTACTATTCAAGGTAAACCAGACAGATCAGTGCCCAGTATTTACAATGTGGATTAAAAGATTTTAAATCACGTGCCATACAGCCTTAATCTGAAGATGTCATACAGTCAGGAAAGTCTACACCCAGATGCACAGGTCCATTGGTTGGAAAGACTCATTTGAATCTCCCTCAGTGCACAAAATACATAAAGAAGTTCTGAGCCAGATCAGTGACACTTAGACTGTCATGAAGAAAAAGGGTTATTCAAAATTCAAGTGTTTCCCAAATGTAAAAGCAAAGTGAAACCATGCCACTGGATTTCCTTCTTATGGTCAAGAGAAATGAAGTTGAAAAACAAAACCAAACACAAACACCTACGCATTCATAGTACCAAAATCATAGCAAAATTAAAAGAAGTATTAAACTCTTTTAGACGTTTATGATGCATATTAAATACAGTAAGAAAGATAAAAAGGCTTGTCAAAGAGAAATAAACTGTTACTAGATCATTAAGGGTTTTAGTGAAGTTAAAAGATTTATCAGAATTTCTGCTGAAGAGAAGGAAATGGCGTGTGATTAAAAGAAAGAAAAAAAGTAAAAAGAAAGAAGGAAATTAAGAAAAAATAAAAAGATGTCCTAAGGACCAAAGATGCTTTAATGAATCAGGAAGCACTGGCATCTCAAAAAGCAGCGAAAGCAACCTTACTGAATTTATCTGTAGCAGTCAATGGCAGGTGACAGGCAGCGAATTAAATACCGGCTCTGAAAACTATTAGTTGTCAGAAAAAGAAAGAGTAAATTTCTACGCAGATCATTTTTATGTTAACGCTTTACTAGATGCTTACTAGCAGCAATAAACTGGTTTGTTAAGTGCTTTTAAGGTAGAGTAGCTGCACAAAATATTTTTATACCTCTTCTGTGACTGGTAGCTGATGGAGGTGGAAGAATGCCGGTTGAAACTAAAATGAGACAAAAGTTGTATTTGAAAAAATATACAAAAAAATTTGGGATATCTTCTCCTACCATAAATTTCCTATGAATAAGAGGTGCTCTTAAGTGCTAAAGTAAACAACATGTACATATTTATATGAATAAGAGGTGCTCTTTAGTGCTAAGAAACCAACATGTACATATTCATAATCATATAAGATCAGCATTGCATTACATTTTGTTTTCTCATTTAAAGCTAGGAATCACAGTGAACCTGAATAATGGTAACATAAGTAAAGGAGGTGAGTATATTGCTCCCTAAGCCACTCTCATCAGGTCTGCTTGTTATTTAGTTGTGGAATTTCAGTTCAACTGCTGGACTGTTGGATTTGACATTCACCATTTATTTGTATTAGCACAAAAAAAAAAGTATGAGGGTTTTTTTTTGTCATCGTCATAAGCTTAAATTGCAGCAAATGTTAGAAGCAAACCTTGAATGAACTAAAGGCCAAAGATAGGTAAGTTTCCACCTTATGGGGCACCTGGAAGAACCCCATGGAAAGGACAGGCTGGAGTAGCTGAAGCAAAAACCCATCACATTCAACTTTGCCCTTGCAGAACCATTCTACTGTTAGAGAGTCACAGGTAGATTTTTTTTTTCTTGGGGAAACAGCATCATTTCAGAACATAAATGAGTCATTTATGCAAATACAGGAAGTACTTAAAGCCTGCACAATGTTTGGCGTGAGAAACAAGAGGATTCAGAATGAACACAGCTCCTGTCTAAGTGCAGAGCAGTGCAGGACTACATGGCATCAACCCCATCCCACGGGAGCACAGCCCACATTTCCCAGAATTACCAGAAGTCTATCACATGTCAAATATTTTCCTAACTTCTGGAGAAGTTTTTCTTCCCTTTACCACGAACACAGTGCTTGGATTAAAATCCCAGGATCAGAAGCTATACCTTCCTTAAAACCGTAATCGTAACTCTTTCTACTGTTTCTCCCGGTTTTGTATTCCCAGAGTGCTCTCTCATGAGGTGCCCTGCTTCAACCCTCCAGATGGAATAACAGATGCATAAAGAGCTTCAAGTTTATTTAAAACTCTCCTGCTATGCTTTGTTCTTTGTAAGCAAGATCGTAAGTGAAAGTCAGATAACATTTCAGATGTAAAAGTAAGAGTAACACAGTCGGTTAAGGATTAATTACTTACTTCAAACATTCCTCTTTAGGAGCATTAGAAAGATTTTACTCAGGTTAGGTGTTATGCATATGGCTTTGCTCACAGAAGCAAAATTACTATAGAACTGGATCTACCAAAGTTTGAAATCATGTTCAAATAGTTAAGGATATTAAGACATCAAGAAATTCTTCTGCATTTTCTTGGTGGATCTTTTTCAGCCATCTAGAAGGAAAAAAACCAACCCAAACACTGGAACAATGGTGGTAAAACCTCAGCCTCATCTTCCTGAGAATGTTTTACAGGATAGGGACAGTTTTGGTCCCTTGTGTTTGAATACACTAACTATAACATACAACCGTTTTTAAAACAAACATGGAAGTAGTGCACAAAGATAAAGAACCTAATTCAGCTGCAACACAGCCCTCCAAAACCAACCAACCAAACTGAGTTTGCTCCTTGTACCTGATAATCAGGGAACCAAATTTTTACAGGCCCTACAAGGTTCTGATTTGCCTTTATGTCCCAAGGCTTGCTGAAGCTCAGACAGTAACATCTACCTGTTGGTAACAGCTTGAAGTGTATGTCAGCACCAAACCTTGTGTCATCCATTGGCAGTAAGATTTCAGGGCAGCAGCATATGAAGTTGATGTGCTGTAGATCTGAAGTCTTTGACTTAAATCATTGCCAGGCACAAGCAAGAGGTTTTAGTGGTCCGATTAAAGCATTGCTTTTTCAAAAGGACAGTGATTTTTCATAGATTCGCAGAATATTTCAGGTTGCAAGAGACCTCAGGAAGAGTCTTATCTAACCTCCTCCTGGAAAGCAAGGCCAGCTCTGAGGTCAGATGAGGTTGCTCCATGTTTTATCCAGTGATGTCTTGAAAACCTTAAAGAATGGAGACACAGCCCCCCCCAGACAACCCATTTCCTTTCAAAGGGGTAGGAAAGGGGAAAATGGTCCATGCCAATCTAATGCAGGAAATTTACTTCCAGTGCAAATGTCTTAATATCTCAAGGTGATCTTTTTGTCCTTGTTACTCATTAAAATTCTGTTTCACACCGGTTAGTCCATATTGATACATAAACACAAATGAATTTATAGTTTTAAGGCCTCACACTGTTTCCCTTCTCCCCATTAAATGGACATGAAATTAAAGGGAAATTAAAAATGCTTAATCAAGAAATAGTACTACACTAACTCTAAGACAGTCATGCAAGGAGTGACAGCAAATACTGGCTATATTTATATTAATTTATTAGCTGTTTATATGTAAATTATAGCTAGTTGTTGCTTAACTTGTCCCTGCCTATTGCAGGGGTATTGGAACTAGATGATCTTTAAGGTCCCTCCCAGCCCAAATCATTCTATGATTCTATGATTTCCAAGACAGCAATGAAAACATAGCTCTTATGGAAGATTTATAGGGGTCCTAAGATGTAGAGTGCTGAAATGTGAATAGGTGTGCTCTGTCTGGCCAGAGTAGTCACCAAAGCTTCAATTTAATTTCATCTTCTGACTGATGGATACATTTCAGTCTTCAGCTGAGAGAAACTCTAAGATCAAGTGTTTCCTGTAGCTCAGGAGAAATAATAGGTTTTGCATGCCAGTGTTTAGTCAAGCTCAAATATGCACTGTTATTAATGCTTTGAAAGCAAGGCACCTTACCTGAGTATGAGGTGTTTAACTGCCTCCTACAACAACTATGTAGAACCCTCTTTTCACAGAGATATGTGATCATTCCAACTGACTAAAAGAGATTTGTTAGTAAAGCAAATTAAAAGTGGATTAAATACTTCTGATGACATTTAAGAGTCTAATTGTACCAGAAGATTGAATGAAAAAGTGTTAGGTATTACTTCTGCAAAGCATAGTACTCTCCTTTGTGACAAGCAATATGGCAAGAGCAAATGGCCTCAAGTTGGCCAGGGGAGGTTTAGGTTGGGTGTTAGGAAAAAAATTTCTTCACTAAAACATCTATCAAGCATCGGAACAGGCTGCCCAGGGAAGTGGTGGAGTCACCAGTCCTGGAGGTATTTAAAAGACATGTAGATGTGGCACTTAGGGATGTGGTTAATGGTGGATTTGGCAGTGCTGGCTTAACAGTTGATCTTAGAGGTTCTTAAACAATTCTATGATTCTCATGATGTAAAAATTAGGTCCTCGTAATGGATACCTCTAAATAGCTCATCACTCTGGAATTTTGAAAGTTCATACATAAAACTAGAAGTCAATGGCAGTAAACACCCCTGCATCTGTTTTACCTTCTATTCCCAGTAACATTCTGGAGACATTCACCAGCTCCTTGAAACTAGTTATGATTAGTGTACTTCCACTCAAATAAATGGAATTACATCAGCAGTTAATTTTATTTCTTATGTTTTATTAGCTCCATACAGGAATTACTTCCCCTATGTAATTCCCACGGCTATAAACAGACACGTTTACATTCTAAACCTGAAAACTCTCATGTTGTGTTCTGTAGCTCTTTCATTTTTGCATTGGTTTCAGTGATGTGAAGCTGATCAAAATGCTTTCAAGTACTACCTATGCACAGCACTGAACTGCCATTTTCTGTGATTTTCTGACAAAGATCATTATACTTCTTGATGTGAAGCCATCAAACTTGCACACTTTGTTCATTCCAAACATCCCCTTTGGGTGATTCCTAACTACCTTCTTATGTAAAGATAAGAGGGACATGGATAATTACAATCTTAAAAGCATTGCCAGTTTTTTGTTATTTCTGAAGACTGTTCAAATGAATCTTAAAATCTGCTGGTTTCTCCTCTGTTAGTATTGTCAAAGTGTTAATGAAAGCAGTGAAAAGGCTTAGAAGTGAGGCAGTACAGCAGTATCCTCTCTTTCTAGTGAGAGAAGCTACCATTCCCTGTCACTGGTCTTTCTCTAGTCATGATTAAGAGCATAATAAAAGGTTTGTGATCCCTGTGATCCTCTGTTTTCACCAAGAAAAAAAAAAAAGGTCCATCATTCCCACCCAGTGTAACTAGACAAATACTTTGATTTTAGGATGGCAAAACCAGCACAAAGCAACCAACTGTAATACCTTTGTTCCAAAAGGACCTTTTGGTCACATATCCTATATCTAAAACTTAGTTGTTTCCCCGCTCGGTTTTCGTGTGAAAGATAAGGAAGGAGGCTACTGCTTCAAACACATCATGCTTTCAACAGTCTCTGCCAAGTCAATCTCTTAAGAAACTGAAAACCTTAAATCAGAGAGCATAACACAAATCAAACCAAATTAAGTTAAGAGAGCTTTACAGATATACCTAGACTGAGATGAGATAGCAGATGAAATAGTGGAAGCTGCTAATGACATGTTCTTGGACCCATGGAAAGGCTTAGGCTGTGAAAGAGAGCTGGGGGCTGCAAGTACTCTGCAGAAGACACAGTAAAAGCAGGAAAGCATGAACAAAATGATTGAACAGGGACAAAAATCATGACATCACAACCAAGCTCTGTTGGAGTTCAGATACAGGAGGACTGCTGCACAGTTAGCAGGAACAGGTATTCTGTAGCATACATCTGCAGACTTACAGAATAGCACAACCAAGCACATTCCTACAGAACACAAGACAAAATGCACACATTATGTAACAATCTTAAATCCAGACTCTACTGATAATTAAGAAAGACAGTATTACAGGACAGGACTTTGTCAATGATACATGTTTTTATCTGCAAGATCTGAAGATGTTTGAGTCCGAATATAAGATAAAAATTTTAATATGCAAACAGTACCAGACAGAAGATTCTGATATTTAAAACAGAAGTAATTGGAATGATTAGTTTTGTAGAGGTATTTTTTTGTTTGAAGCATATACTAGTTAATCCATTTTCTTCATGCTACAGTTTCAACTGAGGGATAAAAGTTACTTAAACCTTATCATTATTTCACGTGAAAGTGCCTTACAGCCCAGTTCTGAATTATAGCATAATACCTTACTCAAACTTCCTCTGCTGGTTGATTGATTTTCTTGTACTAGAATAAAAAAACTGGATCCTGGTAGGTCACAATTAGGTAAAAACTGACTAAAGTGAGAAACTAAGTACATACATAATGCAAGCCAACTTGCAAAAAGTAATCAAGAAGTAGAGCCAAGAGAACATTTCCAATTCCATCTACACACATTTAAGACGACTGGCTACAACTGAGGTCTTGATTAAAGTAGTTTACATTACTGGAAGTGTGCTTTTCCTTGGCTTTGTAAAGCATGCTAAAACATACATCTTTTCAGAATATTCATGTAGCAAACCCCAAAGATAAAAGAATAATATACACCAAAGGAATTAACTCTTACTATCTCTAAAATTACTGTAACATAAGTGACAGCTGTATAAATCCCACAGGTTTCCTCACATGATGTCTGACAGCTTTTAATATACAACTGTAACTCCCACTGTACTACAAGTGTTACAAGTGCTCACCTCCTTGAAACTCACTTCAGCTCTAAGGTTAATTCTCATTAGAGAAAAAGTATTAGATAAATCTAATAGAAACTACTTGACTTAACTTACAGAGCAAGTCAATCATCAAGTGTCCACCATGTTTTACTAACATCTGCTACGATAGGCTGAGCTCAACCACGTGACTTATTTTAATTTTCCTTTTCATGTCCTACTGCAGAAAGACTATTAAAAGAACCTTCATTCACATTATTAAAAGAACCTCCACTCACTGTAACTATTACGAGTTCTTTTGGCTTTATTACAAGTGATGAAAAAACACTTCTAGTTTTAACCCTAGACTTGCTTTCTGAAAACAAAGTTATACTCTTGGGGCAGTATTATTTTGCAAATGCTTTGCAAACATGAACAACGTACCTCAAAACAAAAAAAAATGCAGCAAAAATATATAAAAGCATATAAAACAGGTTACAGCTTTTCATACCACATTCTGAAGTGAAGAATGTGTATGCAGCATTCCCAGAGCCATATGGGGGGATAAAGCAATGAAGCATTACCTTTGGAAGGAGGAGGAGAACGACTCCTGCACTAGTGAGGTGGTTGCTGGTGGTGTCATCAGGCTGGCTGGATTTTGAGCAGCAGTAGCAGGCTGAGGTGCTGAAGCGTGTGGTGCAGGAGCAGCAGAACTGGTAGACACCGGAGCATGCTCGACAGGGGTACTAATTAGACTTAAATTAAATAAAACAAGAAGCATCTTAAGAAGGCACACATTTAAATGTAGAGCACAAAACCTACTATGTTTGAACCTGCAAACATAGTAGCAGGCTGGGTTACTGAGGGAAAAGCACAATTATGCAAAGAAAAAAAAAGGCATTTATTCAGTCTTTTCTGTTGTGCAGTTAAGACTGGAATGCAGTTTTGGTCCTGCTTGACTGAAATTTATCCCAGGTGTTACACAGCACTTTAGTCCTGCTCCCACTGAAGCCTGTGGTAGGAAATGGGGCATGGAGGACTTAAACGGTTGCAAAGAGCCTGTCACAAACTCTTTGAGCTTGGATAACTTTCATCCAATATTTACACCTGGAACTGAAGTTTATAGTAGCATAAATTTTTTAATTAGATAAAGAAAAGCAATTTAAAGGATATTATCACAGTCCTGTGCCAGCAGGTTTCCTGCAAATTCTGATAGTCTAGAAATCTAGTCAGCACAGTTTTCTGTTGGGTTTCATCAGTTTTGTGCAACCTGGGTAGTAGAAAGATGTTTAAAAGGAGTCCCTTCATCTCTGACCTGAATTCACCTTACAGTACACCGCCCAACCCAAATAACAATGAGATGCCCTTTCAAACACAGAACAATATATAAAATACAAGGGGATGATGTAGCATAAAATTTTACTATGCTAGTTTTAAAACCACTTGGGTGATGAGCATGAGTTCTTATCCTTGTGGTCCTCTTGAACTATTGTGGCACAGATTACTTGGAGCAAAGGAATATTAATTTTCTTCATTTTTTCCTTATTTGATTGCAAATAAATGAATTGAAATGAATAATAATGATCTAGTCTGGTATCCTGTGGCCATTTTAGTAACCTACTGAACTACCAGTGTCTTTCATCACCCAGTGCTTATGAACATACTTCAGCCTGAATTACTCATCTCTTACAGACAGACAAATGGGGCCAAGTTATCAGACAGCTTTGCAACATAGTTTAGTCAAAGTCATCCACTGCCAAGAAAAGAACCAATCTTTTGGAAGGTTCAGTTTATTGTCTTCCATTAGCTCTTACATGAAATGAAAAACAAACCAAAATAAATTCACTGAAAACATTCAAGTTATTTGATGACTGTTTCACTGAACTTAATATCAACAGAATAATAAGATTAATAATATGTCCATTCATAATTTTCTTGTCAATAAACCTAATAAAAATAATTTAAAGCAATTTAAAATTTAAAAAGGAGAAAGAAGAAAGGAGAAAAACTTCATTATTTTGTGTTTAGGCAGATTTTAGTGTGGATCTTATTAATTATTATCTACAGAACAAATAAGCCAGTGAAAAATAACAAATTACAACACTATTTTGGGGTAGAAACTTTGATAACAATATAAGAATATGTCCCCTAGGCATAAGGGACATTTTTCATGATGCTGTAGATTCATTTTCTTTAGTAGTTATCCAAATACATACTTTTTTTTTTTTTTAAATCAGAGCATTACTGTACATAGTTGTCTTGTCCATGAGCAGTGGCCTAAGAAAATAATGGATATATTTATACTTCTTTAGACCTAACTCATAAGCATATTGCCACATCTCTGCGTTCTTACAAATCATTCCTATCAGGGTGATAGAATTCTGTGCTTCTCTTGCACAAGGTATAAAATGCCCCAAATACTTGTTCCTAAGCACAGTAAGTATCAAATAACAAAAGAAAGCTTACAGTTCCACTACTGTTTCTCAGCCAATCTTAGCCCTCAAGCATTCTTTCTCTCAGCACTTTTTCCTTAGCAGATTTACCATCCATTGTGCAAATTTTCTCTGTTTCAGCCATTCTACCGCATTTTTTCTTTTGGCTTCTCTCAAAAGTGCTGACTTGGCAAGTTACACTCCTGAGGACCTAGAGTGAGTGCTTCATACTTCAGAATTTGTGATACCCCTTGTTCTTAAAGGGACTCTCCCATTTCCCCTGTCCTTCTTGTCTTCTTGTACGGCTCAGTAGTCTAATGATGGTGTCTGAATTATTTTCTGTTTGGTTAGCTGCAACAGAAGCGTCGTTGTTATACCCATAAGTTTCAAAGTAGAATGTAACCCACAACAAAAGCAGAAAATCAGTATTTTCTCCCTTATGAATTTCATCTGCAATTATGTACATAAGAAATGAGGTCCTGAAAATACCCAGTTTGCAATTCTGGGTTTCAAATCATTACACCAAGTTTAGCAACGGTTTTGCAAAAGTTTGCCCATCGTAATATGCAGTCGAAATTCAGATCGGTTTTTCCATCTTGATGCATTTTATGATGCAAATTCTTCCAATTAACAAATAGACTATCAATTACAAAGCCTGTGCTGCAGAGAAGCTGAATATTATCCATCACAACTATGGGTCACAGGAGAGTCTGTTACTGAGTTTCAATACCAACAGGATTTTTTTTCCCCCTGTGCCACAGTGGGTACTGGAATTATCACATTAAAAGGTGTGGAGTCACAATTTAGTACTTACATGTCTTTGATCTGGCAAACAGGAAAGGAGTGAAACTATGCTGCACATAAAAATGGAACTTCATATATGTCTTAAGAACAAACACAAACTAGGATTCCACCTATTTTGTCTATTTGCACTGATGTCAAAGGGAATTGGCTACAGATTTCAAAAGATTCATGACTTCCTACTTTGAAGAGAAGAAAACAGTGAACTTACTTAATTGTAATAATCTCCAAAATGTTAATCAAAATACATATTCATTGATATGTATTGAAAAGAAAGTAAAAAACCCCAAAAACCTGTGTTTGAGGACAAGGACGTGTATGGAGACAGATTTGAATGGAACAACTCATGTAAATAAAATAAATGCAGATATACTGAAGTACCTTTTATAGTTTAAAGAAAATACAAAAAAAAAATGTATCTTTGTTGGTGTTTGCAATATTTCTTTTTATATGGTTAAAGTATTAGGGTCTTGATTGCCTCCCTTCATGGTAGAATCACAAAGTGATTTTGTTCCATAAATTATATGCAGTTGGTAACACTCTCAACTCAGTTTTTAAAAAGATCTGAAGACTAACTTGACTGGTTTTAATTTAACAACTATAAATTTTAAATAAATATTTAGATAGTCAAATAAAACAACCTTTTTTTTTTCCTCAAGATTGCCTACTTTCTAGATTTTCAGTCTGATTTTTTTAGTTCTTCAAGTGCAGCAGAATTTTAAGAACTGATAAATGTGAGTGCTGCTTTATAAAATAGATAATATGTTGTAACAGCTTCATTATTACATGTTCCAGATGAGTTTTTGGTTGGTTGGTTTTTAAATGCAGTCATTCTGTAGATTTTAAATCTTTACAGTACTTTGTATTTTAAGGAAAATCAAAGAAAATCGAAAAAAATCAAACATCTTCATATTTGTGGTAACAAACATAAAAGTAAGTTAGGTGGATGAAAACAAACACACATCTCTTCTCAGCTGATTTTCACTCATGAAAAGGAACACAGATCAGTAGAGGTTAAGAGGATAATAATGGTTAACAACCATAATGAGAAAACACAGCAACAAATGCACTTTAAGATTTAGAAAAAATAAGTGCAGATTATACTTCTGTCTCTCAGCAAAGTCCTCAGTTCTGAGACTTTCTGTCCAAATAACAGTCGAGTGGATTATTAAAGCAGTACTTAGTCTCCTTTATGTAATGCATGAAGGTTTTTTGGGTTTCTAATCCTCCAACATATCACATGTAAAGAATTGAATATATAGGGAATAAAAATTAAAATGGATAGGAAAAAAAATATCTCTTATTGTAGCATTTGTAGAAAAAAGTGCCTGAGAATATGGTTAGAGAAAGCCATAACATGGAAGAGTCTTACATTTGAATATGGGAATGGTTGTAGAAATACAGTCAAAATAGAGAAATATCAGCTGCTGTTTCTCTGCTGAAGGTGCTTTATGACTGTTGTCTCTGTATTTTATGCGTGATCCTTAAGAGAGCCACTGAAAATGTAACATCCACATGAACTGGAAGTTTCTGGAATTTGTAGAACTTGAACACCTTCCTTTTAGGCAATGGGCATTTCCAGCTGAACTCCAGGAGTTAGAGGTTGTTATTACCAAAGCACTCCAAAGCTCCAAACCAGGTCAGTTATGCAGTTACACATCACAGTGTACCTTTGGTTACTGGATGAAGCAAGAGGGACTTTCTGGCCAGCAGTGGTGAAAGTGGCCTCCCTCTGACTTGTACCCGCTCCAAGCCTCACAGAGCCCTTGGAGGCCATTGGCTTGGCACTGTCAGTGTTGGCATCCCTGGTGGAGGATTTAGGAGGATGCCAAATACTGGAGGTCACATACTGTGGCGCATGCGTAGTGTCTGCAGGCCTGGGTAACAAAGATTACAAGGGGGTTTGTAAATGAGGCATTTCCTAGGGAACAGCAGGTATTTGAGGAAGAGACAGAATTCCAGCCACAGAAGAAGCTGGAGATCATCATGGTATCGCAGATGAAGTAATGACAAATCTTGATAGTTCATTAGTTTATTACTGCTTAAGACCAGGAAAGGCTTGAAGAATTAAAAAAGGTACCTCGTGTTAAATCTGGAAACCATATTGCTATGAATATCAAAATAAGACACAAAGCAAGGCTGTGATGATAATGGAGGTGGAGAAAAGCTATGGTATGACAAGTCACATAAAATTAAGGCAATGTAGTATGACACTAACACCAGTCATATATCAGAAATTGTTCCTGGTAAAATAAAATAATAATTAAAAGAAAACGAGATTTCAGTGGAGCAGCTGCACAGTCCTGTAGATGGTTTTAAACAAATGAAACTGTTGGCAAAATGCCAACATATTCTTTGTTTTATACACTTTAATTTATATACAGGAATCAAGGTATTTATTTCCTTCTATTTTCATAATTAATTTAAAAATAAAAAATCAATTTTTCCTACTGTTTCAAGGGCCAATTGCCATTGCTTGTGTCACTAGTAACAAATAACACTTGCACTTGGATTTTAACTCCATGTAACCTTTGTTAAAACATGAGCAGTCTTATAAAGGAAAAAAACACAAAGTGGTTGCACATCTGAGGCAGGAATCAATAAGACAGAGGAAAGCAGCGAGGTAGAATTCGTTTCATGACAAACTAATAAGAGGCATTTCTTTGCTCCGTGAAACTATTGTCAGATTCACTTAAGAAGCAGTTGTATCAGTACTTGTGTGGTTTAGTACATGAACTAATAGAAAAGAGCACATTTTTATCTGTAACTGCAAAATGTGCTGAGATCCTTTGGGAGAAAACAATTTGACATGAAAGAACTTACAGAGAGACTATGTTTTGAATCTCATAACCCACTGAGGATCAATCAATATATACAAGAATCCGACATGTAATAGTTCTTGAAATACCAAAAAGATAATCTTACTTAGATTTAAAAAATATCTTGAATGATCTAGGCAAAGTTTAAAATGGAAATTGTTCTTAAAACTCCACCATAAATTGATAATACTCCATTTCAAGAATATTTGCTAAAAACTTGTTATTTTTCAGGTTTGTAATTTCTGAGAAAGATGATCCCCACCTGTCCCATGTCACAGTGCTTCTTGAAGTCTGCATTAGAAAGAAATGTCTAATGAACCCACTTAGTTGAAGCCTCCACAGTCATCACCTGCTCAAACAGTGTACAAATCTCATGTTTTTGAGGTAAGAACAATATGGGGAAAGTGGAGATAAACTCTTAATAGGAAGTAAGTCAAACACAGCAAACATTACCTGTTTTCTGATGCTGCTGCAACATTTTCCTTGTCTCTGTGAAAGGAGGGATACAGTGTGAATGAAGTAAATGCAATTGCCAGTGGTGGCAAGAAAACCCACCCAAAAACAACCAAGGAGGAAGAAAATGGGTTGAGCAGAAATGTTTGGTTGCAAAAAGCATCCTAGAGTGGTTGCTTATAAACATAGTTGTGAGAAATCTCTTCAGCTTTCCAGGTGAAACCCACCAAATATACAAGTTTACTGCATATTGCTTCTTATAATTATATGCTTCTTATCAGTTGCAAACAACTTTGTTTCAATAATAAAGTAAAAGGAAAATTAACACTTACAAATTAGATGTTGTATGTCTGCTTTTAATTTCAGGAATAGTTTTGATTTTAATAAGTTCCCTTTAAAAAAAAAATTAATAATATTCCAGTAGAACATATTTTGATGCCAAATCCAAGCGGTGAAACTAATCAGACCTGGGCAGTCCTCAAGGATCTGGTATTTTGAAGCGATAAAAATGGGTAACAAAGATTCACACAAGAAGAATTTCTTGTGCCTGGTATCACTTAAAAATTCTCTGTCCTATCTAAGTACTTGTTTTCTCAATGTAAATCAGATTAGAAACAATTCCTTCACTGAATTCCCTCAATTAGAAATCATTCCTTCCCTGAGGTGAGGAGTAAATCAGCCTTGATTTCTCTGATAGAGAACTGGGCTATTATTCTGCAAACACACACACGCTTACAAAAACAACTGATCAGTTTAAGTGCAATTGTGTATCTGTAAGAAGTTAAGATAAAAGTATTTTCATAAAGAATATAATCCATTAGCCTTAAACTCCTAAGTTTGAAATCCAGTTAGTTAAGTAATTGAGATAGTCTCAATATTTAGCAATTTAGTGGGTGGTTGTGTCCCTTGCTATTTAAGAAGTTGTGCTGAAACTGATGTGTTTAAAGCTAAAATATGTCAAATGAGAACACTTTTCTTAACTGGGATCTGAAATTACAAAACACAAAGCAAATGTCCTCATTTATCCAACTGCACCTTCTTTCTGCAGTGTCCTTTGGAAAAAAAAAAAAGGAATACATGTATTTACGTGGATTTGTTGGGCACCAATCATTAACTTACATTACATTTGGAAGGCTATTCTTAATATTTCCCCCATTATTAGCAGTATTTTATATGTGTCTCTGTGTTTATGTACTTACAGATACATATGTATGTATAGTCATATATGAAATGGCTTTTCCTTAGTTCAGTTTTAACAAAGTTATAAAAACCAATCCAGTTTAGATCAGCAAAGGTTTGGGCATAGGTGTCCTCTACAAATTTTTAAAACCTCTAACTAACATGTAACTCCTAAAATATATGAAGTCAGATTTTCAAACCTAGAAGTGGACCTGAAACGCCCCTCAGACGCTGCCACCTGACTACCAATGTTACTGGGGTTGGACTGGAAGAGCCTGTCTTGAAAACAAACGCCCTGATGAGATCAACCAGCTCACCACTCCGAAGCAATGAGAAACCAAACACTGCCTTTATAGTAACCAAGTTGTGAGTTCATTGCAATGTCAGGTAGAGCAAAGACAGGATGAAACAGGGTAGAGGAGGATGGATTAGAGGCTGTGTGTGTGTGTGGGAAGTGTTAGTACACCAAGAGCCACAGTCATGCGAGGATGTTAAAAAACACAGTCACAGCCTGAAAGGAATAAAATATTGCTTATTCCCAAGTATTCTACGAGGGATCACAGCCAAGACCAAAAGGCAGGCAGTTGGGGTCAGGCTGAAGCAGTGTTAAACCTCTGTTGTTATTATTAATCTGATCCAAACTTTTCTGCCCCATTAGTTGTGGCTACACCGAAGAAGAGCAAAAAAAGTCACTTGATTTTGAGGTCAGCATTTCACAAAAGTTTTTTCCCCGAGTGTATAAAATAGGATGACTTTGAGTGACGATGGCAGGGGAGTTGAGAAGGGGAAAAAGAGAGAGAAGTATAGTAAAAATACTTCCACAGAACAAAGCAAAGGAAAAGGCAGAGAGTAGAGGGAAAGATGAGTTCAAAGGCACACAATACTTCTTCATGGTGTGGCTTCCAGGAAGTATTTCTCTTCCCAGTCAACAGGAGTAATGCCCATTTGGTTAACAATAAGAAAGGCTCAAGATCCGTTGTGCCTCTTATTTGCAATACTTGCATTTTGAGGAACAGGCTATTGGATTTACGGCCTTTACAATCAAACATTTTGTCTAACTAAATGCAGAAATAATTTTACTTTTGAGTCCAATACATCCCTGGGGTAGGCTCAGTAAAGTCAACACCTTCACCAAATTAAAAAAATTTGGCTCAGAATATTATGAGCAGTTTATATCTCTGCGGCTACACAGGCTGCTCCAGTAACTGATAGTAGTTTTGAGCTATCCGGAAGAGATTTAAAATTAGTGGGTTTTTTTGTTTTGTTTTTGGTTTTGTTTGTTTGTTTGTTTTTTGTCTGCAGCCTTTTTATTCCCCACTGAAATGGCTTTTGACAGAAGGGCCATTCTGAGAGAACAGTGCAACTCCCACAGACTTCATTAAATGTTGGACATATATCTAAACAAGATTTACACAGTATACTGTCTTCCCAGTTACAGGGTATATTATACAGTGGAAATCTTGAAATGCTTCCTTCTCATAAAAATATGCTACAGGATATGGTCATGCAGACAGAGTGACTGAAATTATAGTAATAGAGTCTTTCCCACCCACATCAACAAGAACTGGTGTAACTGAATGCAAAATTCCTTTGCAGGCCAAGCTTGTGTGTGCTATTGGATCCTAAAAAGAGCCTGGAGACACTTCAGAGAGTTTCCAGTGAGTATGTTAAATCTGAACTGTATGAACTGGACATGGGAATACTTTCCCATTCTACTTTATTTTTGGAAACCAAATGTAAAAGATTCCCAAACACCTACATATAACAGGCAAGTTGAAATGTGGAGGTTGTGTACCTTCCATCTGCCTTCTCTTTAGATGGCAACAGATGTTTAATGAAGACCTAATGACATAAGAAAAATGAGGCATCCTGAAAGACCACATGGTCCTTCAGCTCTGTCTTTCAGACTGAAGCAGTAAGTGAATACTGTAATTGAGTTTTTTCTCTATACTCTTATGGAGCAAGACTGTTTTTCTAATTTTACAAATGAGAAACTAAAACTTAATAGAGTTGCTCATGGTCACAAAGAAGGTCTACAGCAGGGCAAAGAATTGAAGTAAGTTCTCCTGAATCTCAGTTGAGTATTTAAAATATCAGCTCACCCTCTTTAATGAGATTATAGATTTTTTAAATAAATATATCTATTCAGTTTATTGTTATTTTCCTGTATTAGTCATCCAGTAGTCTTCTACAGAGCCTGACAGATATATACTGGCCTTTTTTCAAAGGGGAAGTGGATTTACAGATTATTAAGGTCTATAGCTATTGAAATTAAAAATTCTGGTTTTCTAGTAGGATGGTGCAGATTTGTACCATAAGACTTATATTTACATAAGCATATTTGCCTACAAATACAATTTCCTTTTAAGAAGTAGAAGTTACAAAATAACTTCAAAAGAAATTTTTATAGGGTGTGTCTGGGAGTAAAGTTGTGTGAAAGTTATTTCATAATTGCCTTTCAAACATTTTTTTGTCTCAAAGGCATGAGACACTGACACTGTTGAAAACTGGACAGTGAGCTACATTAACTGCTGTTCTGATCCAATGAGGTTATTTCTACCTTTCTGTGTTTGCAGCTCAGAACTTTTCCATGGTCAGATGACTATAAAACTGTTGAGGATGTTTGTCTTTTTTTCCCCCATGCTATATTTTTGTTATTCCAACATAGACATCCTAAGACACACAAAGAAATCATAGGCAGTTAACAGAGAGGACAGAAGACAACTATCATGCTGGTTTAGTCAAAACTTTAGCTTGGAATCAGAGAAAAAGGGGTACAAGAGCCAGTCTCTCTTTTTCAGCCACTGTAGTTAAGAATGTGAGCAGCCCACGCCAAAACGTGGCAATATTATAATATATCCTCCTAGTATGTCTGCTTTCCAAAACAGGGAAATACATTTCTCCCAGAAGGTATTCTGGTTTGTGCAGACAGTGGCACAGAACAGGAAATGCATTATCATAGATTCAGTGGAAAACAACCAGCAACTCATTCTCAACAAGCAGTATGGAACTCAGTCAAAGCAGCTCACTAAAATCAAAGCCAACCCCTCCCATGAATGCATTTTAGTGGCACCTGCAGGTTTGCTGTTAAATGTAACAGTCACACAATAAATGCAGCTGGGCACACAGCAGCACTGGTGTGGGGGAAAGGCAAGGTCACTCTTTTCCAAGATTTGCAGAGTGATATTTGCCATGCAAGTATAGGTACTCCCATTTTCAGTTTTATCACCAAAGATTGCAAAATTCTGAGCATGGGTAGCAATTTGAGCTGGGACTTAATTTGCATAATTATTCCCTGTCTTGGCCTTAAGTGTGCAACTGGACTGAACAGAATGATTTGGCCCAGCTTTTTACAGCCCCACTGGTAAAGTGCAGGTATCTGCCACCAGGCACCTGAGCACAGGATCTGGACTTTCAGGTTGTGTTTGTGACCATTGCAGACAGAACCAGTGCACAATAAGTTTAGATTTTGTATGCCAGGAAACAATTCCCCTTTCACTGAAGTGTTCTTTCTCTTCATGACTTCACTTTTTCTCCAGGGAAACTGAGAGAACAAGAACCCAGAGATCTCAATTTCAGCTGGTAGTTCTTTTAGACCTACTTTTTAGTTTGTGCACATTGGTGATAAGAAAATTCATACTTCTTCTATGTGGTATTATGCTAAGTTTGCAGCTGCCTCTGAAATACAGCAATGTGTCTGTGCTGTTCAGTTCCTGAGTCAAGTAACTAAGTGGTATGAATTAGAACGCTTGTCGCTCTTTCAGAATGTGGATTGCATTTTATTTCATAAACTCTCATAAGGATTTTCTTACCTTCCCTCTCTCTCATTTGTAATCATATAACATTCTGGGTCAGCT